CATCTACATGACCCTCAAACATCTTATCATCTTCATCATACAAATCACAATCACTCTCAAGAAACTCATCAGAACACTCTGAGTCTGATCCAAAAGATTGGATTTCAAACTCACTATCAGAATCACCCAAATCATCATCACCACAATCATCATCACATATATCATCATGATTTTGTTCAACAGTGAAATTATCAATTAATTCATCTAAATCCTGCCCATCATCCCCCACATAATCCAATGGTTCATCAACAGAAGGCAAGCACTCAGAAGGTTGACTACTCATGTAGTCTTCCATATGTTCAACATATAAACCAACCATTCTATTCTCATCAATCCAGTTAACAAGACTTATGGCATCAAAATCATTTTTCAAGACAAACAAAGACCGGCAATCATTAACACCATTTTTACTACAATGCACACACCTAACACCTTCTGCCCCAACTTCAGAAGCCATAAGAAATATTTCTATCAGTGAGAGTTCATCAGGGTCACAGTAGTCAATGTGACTTACCCTCATGTTCTCACCAGTATAGCATGTATCACCGAGTTCCATAAATCGTCCACCATAATGAAATGAAATGGTAAACAGTTGTGAACTTGGACCTGAAGGGGACAAGAATATTAATTAATCAATATCCTGGTCCCTTCACATGAAAATTAAATAAACAAATCAATAAAAAACTAAACTAATTTATCAATTTCGAAAAAGGGACCACATTTCAGAAAAAATTCACATGTTGATATATGAATAATCCACTATTTTGTCGCCACATTCAAGAAATTGTCGCCACATTTAAAACGGGACCACATAATCACACAAACATGTTCACAGTTAAAAGAATTGGGCCAAATTCAACAAAAAATCAAAAAAAATTTACGAATTAGGGTTACAGTACAAACCGTAATCTGGGCAGGGTCTTCCTGGTGGTATGTCATCATCACTGATTCGCTTTTTCCAGACCATCACAATTGCAATCAATTTGAATTTGTGAAGTGTTTGATCTAAATTTTTGCAGAGAAGGTTCTCGTTTTTTTCGAGCAGAGAGAGAGACAAGAATTGCAGGCTTTTGCCCTAATTTTGAATTGGGTTTGTGAATTCAATTCAATTCAGAGTGTATTTGGGGGAGTCAAAAGGTCGCGTACATAAAATGGCAAATCTACCCTCAAGATTCGTGCGTGTGCGTCGCACGCTCGCTTTTCCGGTGGAAAACGAGCCGCCGATGGACGGAGGTTGCGATACAGGCAAACCCGTGTATTAAAGGTTGCAATTTAGTACGAAATATTCTTTAGGTTGCAAAATCCGAAAACGCGATTAGTACAGGTTGCAAATAATTATTTACCCCCATATTGGTTCACTAATTTATATTTTGTATGTGCACATAGAGATTCTAAGGCAGTTAATATAAAAGCACTAGCAATTTCATTTTTACATTAAAATCAAACGATTTTCAGACTTTAATTAAAAAAAAAAGTTGTGAGAAAAATATATTACAATAATAAGTGCAGAATTAAGAAATGAACTTAATAAATGAATAAGAAACTTGGTTATGATTAATTGAATTCAGAAAAAGTAACGCCAGTTATGATTAGTTAAAACAGAAAATAAATTTATTTAGAAAAATCATCAATCCTACTTGTTTATGAAAATCATGGAACCACAATTTTCATATTTTCATCACAGCGTTCCATTTAATCTCGCTTTATTTTTTTTTTATTTTTTTTTAACGGTTCAACATTTTCTTTTTTTTTGTTTACAAAATTCCATCATAGTCAATAAGTTCCAACAATATCACCCACACTTTAAATCCTAAATATTAAATTATATAACACCATAACTGACAATTATACATTACACAATTGGATATAACTAGTAAAAACTCAATCAAAATTTAAATTTAACTCAACTCTACTATTCTTAATATTATAAATATAATTAAATAGGGTAAAGTCCACTTTTGGTCCTCCATGTTTAGGGGGTATCCAGACTGAGTCCCTATTATGTTTTGGTGCCCAATTTTAGTCCTTAAAACAAAAAAATGAGTCCCTATTATGTTTTGGTGCCCAATTTTAGTCCTTAAAACAAAAAAAAATGAGTCCCTATTATGTTTTGGTGCCCAATTTTAGTCCTTAAAACAAAAAATGAGTCCATATTATATTTTGGTGCCCAATTTTAGTCCATAAAACAAAAAAATGTAGTCCCTTTACCTCAATTTTTGTGAATTAACGGTCCATTTTTGCTCGACTGTGATGTTCTTTATTTTTGTTAAAATTTGTTGATTAATGTCAACTTTGACCAAAGAAAAATAAAAGAAAATTTTAATGCTGAAAATATATTAATAAAAAATTAAACTAAAACAAGAAACTGCACTAAATTAAATTAAAATTTTTGCTCGTCTGATTTCTATTTCCCTAGCATTCGCGCTGCGGAGCAAGCCTGGAATCACAGCTAATGCTCTTGCACCCATTTCCGGGTCATGCCATCGAAAAAAATTGCACCTATCAACCCTCAATTAACCATTTCTTATCATATTCCAATTGAAGTTCACGGAAAGTACTTACAGGATATAGAGGGCAACTCAAGAATCTTCTTCCGAGATTATCATCCTTCCAACATGTAGTCAACTTTGCAACCAGCTCACATCTACAAAATACCACACCATTTCCATCCATTTGATCGGATTTAGTCCCTAGGCGGTTAGGGTTTTTTTTTTACGTTTCACTGCAGTTCACTATTTCTGTCTTTTATTTTACTTTTTCAGCATTTAAATTTTCTTTTATTTTTCTTTGGTCAAAGTTGACATTAGTCAACAAATTTTAAAAAAATAAAGAACATAACGGTCGAGCAAAAATGGACCGTTAATTCAATAAATTGAGGTAAAGGGACTACATTTTTTTTACGGACTAAAATTGGACATCAAAACATAATATGGATTAAGTCTGGATACCCCTAAACATGGAGGACTAAAAGTGGATTTTTTCCAATTATAGAGACTACATTTTTTTGTTTTAAGGACTAAAATTGGGCACCAAAACATAATAGGGACTCAGTCTGGATACCCCCTAAACATGGAGGACCAAAAGTGGACCTTCCCCAATTAAATAATATTAACCAACCATTTTTATATATCACATCAATTTTACTTCATTATTCACGCGCTCACATAATTTTAACTAATCATTACTTTTATATTTTTTCTTATTATATATTAAATCAACTTTAATTATTTTATTTTAAATATTATTTTAATTTAAACTTAAATTTCTACTAACAACTAACAATATTACTCTTTTCATAATTAACTATAGTTAACAACAAAACCAATCACACCCTAAATGATACACATATCACAGTTTATATAGCTAAATACATATATTCAATACACAAATAAAAATATCAAAGTATCTTCCCAATAATCTTCAATATATCCACAAATCTAAAAAAATTAAAAGAAAATTCCAAAATAAATGAACAATTTTTATTCAAAAAAACAAATAATAAACAGGTATTATTTCTCTTCCACCATCGTTTCAACTCGACTCCACTTTCCTCAACACGACACCATTAAAACTCTCCAAAAATCCGAAGTTTTTCCTCTCTTCTCCCATGAATTCACCATCTTTTCTTAGATCCATCGTAGATTCTTAAGCCCCGCCTTATTCCCTACCGGATTATTTTTTTATTTTTATTTTTTTGTTGCTGCATCCAAAAGCTTTTTTGAATCGTTGCTAAAAAATCGAAATGGGTTCGATTCTTCCAGATCTGAGCGGAAGGATCCTCCCGGAGCCGATTGACCACTTCGACCGGCTGCCGGACTCCGTCGTCCTCCTTATCTTCAACCAGATCGGCGACGTCAAGGCCCTCGGCCGTTGCTGCGTCGTCTCGAGGCGTTTCCACGACCTCGTCCCCCAGGTCGACAACGTCGTGGTCCGCGTGGACTGCGTCATCTCCGACGACGACCCGTCGGCGACGTCCTCATCCGCCGCCGCCGCCGCCGGCAAGTCGCGCCACCCGATCTCCTCCCTCTTCCGCGTCCTCTTCTCCGGTATCTTCAAGCCCTTGCAGTCCCTGTCCCAGCTCATCGCCCATTCACCCAGCCGCCTCGCTCTGCCTGAGGATTTCGAATGCGAGACGGAGCCCAGCAGCGTCACCCACCATTCTCCAACTCAGGTATTAAAGAATTTTAACGAGATCAAGTTTCTCAGAATAGAGCTTCCGAGTGGGGAATTAGGAATTGATGAGGGCGTTTTGTTGAAGTGGAAGGCTAATTTTGGCTCCACACTGGATAGCTGTGTTATTCTTGGAGCTTCGAGTGTCGTTCAGAGCGTGTGTAATGATGTTGAGTGTATGAGTAACTGTAATAGTAATGATTGTAATGACAATGGGAGCATACCGGAGTCGTTTTACACTAATGGAGGATTGAAATTGCGAGTTGTATGGACTATAAGCTCCTTGATAGCTGCCTCAGCTAGGCATTATTTGCTGCAGCCCATTATAGCAGAGCACAAGACATTGGAAAATTTGGTTTTGACTGATGGTGATGGGCAAGGAGTTTTGTCTATGAACAAAGAACAGCTGGAGGAGCTGAGAGTGAAGCCCCTTTCGGCATCTTCAGCTTCGAAGAGGACTTTAGTTCCCGCTTTGAATATGCGATTGTGGTACGCAGCCCATGTTGAGTTGCCGAACGGTGTGGTGTTAAAAGGGGCCACTTTGGTTGCGATTAGGCCCAGTGAACAGCCCAAGATGGAGGTGGTGGGCTTGGAGGGGAATTGGGTTGGGTCGGCCTTTGAAGAGCCGTTTGGGACTGCTGCGAGGATGTTAGTGAAGAGGAGGACTTACTGTTTGGAAATGAATTCCTTTTGAAAATTGAGTGGCTAAGGCTGAAATTTGAGGTATTGTGCTGCCTTTCCTTTTACAAACTGTTTGAGATTTGTTGTGTGTAGAGTAAATTTGAATCTATATTGCTGTTTTTATATATGTCTTTATCTATGCTGAATTGAGTCCTTGGTATGTGAGGATTTTCATGTTTGTTGCTTTGTATTTTACGGTGTTGAGTTAATGTGGGACAGTTCTCACTTAGATTTGCATGTAGCCTTAATCATGTAATAGACATACGCAATGATATTGTGTTATATTTTGCAGTGGATTTTATATGACAGATTTGACTTCGAAAGGCCAGTAACTGTAGATTATCTTTGTCATAGTCCGAGTGATTTTTCCAGTCTTATGGAAAAGTATCCTCGATTTGTAGCTACTAAAGCTGATTTTGATTTGCTATCTTTCCTGTTATTACATTGTTCCACATTAAATATACCTTTCGCCAGTGGTATTTTTATCTTTGAACTACACAGGGTGCTTTCTATTAAGTATTTTCTAGAAAGCTGGTTAGAGAATTCTTGTTGTTCTAATTTATCTGTTGGAAAAATGCTTGGATTTGTTAATTGATCATTGCCTACTGAACTGAACTGCCTTTAGAAAAAGATTGCTAGATGGCTTTGTGTGTTTTTTTTTTCGATCAATCCTTGTGAGCATGTGGTGAGACTTGTTCGTGAGGTGGGTTGTTTTGTCATTTTGCTTTCTACAGCAACAAATGGAAAGTTTACATTACGAGATGGGTTGTGTCATTATCTTTCTTTTTTCATTATAAGATGGGTTTGTTTGTTTGCATACAATTCCATTGTGCATATTGCATACTTGTTCTGAGTCTCCATTAATGCACACCATATTGCCCCATAACATTATCTCCCCCCACACAATATGGGCAGGGCACTTATTTATTTGTTTATTATTTTTCTCTCAATAAAAAAAGAAATAAAAAAATTACCAATTTGTTTATTATTTCCGTTTTGACTGTTTGGTACCTATTGTTCTTGCAGGGAAAGGCTTCCTAGAAAAGCAAGTTATAGCAATCGGGTGGATCGATCACGCGGTAGAACAATTTGAAGCAGCAACGTATATTTTGAAGTGAGAGGGATCGATTCAAGTTTAAAAAAAAAAAAAATAATAATGCTTCCAGTTATTATTATACCTTGAAATGGTCTTGCTTTCTACAACCAAACGGTCTTTAGGAACAAAATCGTATGCTGTGCAACTTTAATGTTGTAAGAGTAAATCATGGGTGTTCGATTTTGCTGGTCATCTGGTTCTGTTTGCATCTGTATATGTAAATATTGTTGTAGGTATATGTTGAATACTATGGTTATGTGCTTGTACCTGAAGAGGTTTTACTTGAAAAGTATACCCTGAGTTTTCAGCTGCATATTGTTGTTGTTACCAGCTGATTTACTGGCCTAATAAATGGGAAAAAACAGCCGAACTTTCTATCTTTGATGGATTTCATCCTCATCTTGCAATTGTATGATTTCCAAGCTGGTGTTGTAGTTTCCAATTTATTTTGATTTTATTTTTTGAAAAGGTTCATTATGAATGAACAAAAATATACCTTGACAAATCACTAAGGGTGATTGGATATTTTCAATTCATATTCAATTTAAAATTTAATTCAACTTTACTATCTTCAATATTATCAATATAATTAAATAATTTTAATCAATCATTATTACACATTATATTAATTTTAATTCACTATTCATTTTCTCACATAATTTTAACTACACATCATTTCTCTCATATTTTTATATTAAATCAATTTTAATTATTTCATTTTAAATATTATTTTAATAAACTCATAGTATCACTACCAACTAATCATAAAATTCCATTTTGACTGAAATTTTTTTATATCCAAGCACGTCTTAAGTTTTTGTGTGAATCGGGTCGGCCGGGTCATACTTTTTTTTTTAATAAAAATGCATTTTATGCTAGAAATATTATTATTTTATTTTTTAGAGTGGTATTCCAATTTAAATGTATTGCATATTTATTAAAAAAACACGATTGTCTAATCGTTATTTATGTCTAATAGTACAAATACAAATGTCCAAAATACTACGTATACATTTATTATATGCAACGTAACATCGAATTCGCACCATTATTATGACCAATTACTACATGCAACATAACATTGAGTTCGCACCATTATTATGAACAATTGTGCAGAGCGAGAACAAATTAGACCTGAGAAAAAAATATTCAATACTCTCACCAAACACACAGCACCACTTAAAGAGGGGGAAAAAAAAATTAAAAATAAAAACAGTTTTGGAACATTTTAAACCAGCAAAATCAGAGCACTACTAAAATTACTTTAATACATATAAAATTTCAGATGGCACAACAACACAAGGTCGCACGCTGAGGCTGCAGGAGAACGAGTACACAGTGCCTCAGTAAAGTGCGCGAAATTTTAGTCACCTGCAAAAGAAAAAAAAAAAATGAATCAAACTCATTCTAAGTGAGAAGATAGTGAAACATTTGTACAGAATAAAGAAATTTCTCTAATCAGAAAATAGAAAAAGAACAGATAAAAATTGTTATAATACATATGGATTGCAAAAGATATGTATCCACACACCCCATTCATTAAGAGTGCTCAGAAGTCAAGAAAATTACACTCTTGATTAAGTTACCTCATCAAACTTGAGGTTAACTCAAGTCATCTACATAAAGTCTTAGCCACATGCTTTTGTAGAGAATAAGGAGAACTAAGACCTTAAAGCTTGTAAATTAAGGGTATATTTAATCGCTTTTTGTGCTTTTCACGGTGCTGCGCCTAATTTGTCATATCTCAATCGAACAAACGAAATTGGAGATTATTGCCTATATGCATTTATGATGATATTCGTGGAAATGTGTTTTCCATCAAACTCTCATCAATACTATGATGGCATACAGAGACTAACTACACAACGATGGCAATAAAAAAAAAATAAAGAAAGAAAAGAGACAAGTACAAAAGGCTCACATCACCAATTGTCTTACTAGAAACAACACGCGTCATCGCGAATAAATACTTAAAACGCAAAATGGCCTCTCTCATATACCTTATCTAGTGACAAAACAAAGTCATTTTGCAATGTGACGCGAATAAAATAACTAAATGCAAAAAGGGCCTCTTCAGTGCCTTATGTAGTGACAGATGGACCAGATGAGATACTCCTCGTTCAGATTTATGTAGATGGACTACTGGGGTTTTGGTTTA